CTGCAGCCTCTGAGGCTGCCGCTCTTAGAGAGGAAAGGAAGTGGCAAGGCAGTGGAAGACTACGAACACTGGGAGGTAGAGATGCACCTACAGTGCATGACTTTGTGCCCGGGCTATAAGGATACAGAGATGGCCAAGCCAAGCTGCTTATCTCAAGGAACCCTAAGATAGGTCCATAAGTCCCATGTTACAAAGCAAGAGTCTCAGGTGAAGGAGCCCAGAGGAAGGAAAGCTGAGGCCCATGAGGGGAGGGACAGGGGCTGGGAGCAGTGGCATTTCAGCATAGCCTCTCATATAGGTGGGACACGTGCCCCTGGCCATGGGGACCAGCAGCAGAAGTGTCTAAGCAAGCACCTTGGGTGGAAGTCCAGTGCCATGGTTGGGTAGGAGGTGCTATTTTTTTGAAGGTAGCATGCAAGAGTGGGAAAAGACAAGATAAAACAGAGAAATACATCAGAGGCACCAAGTTGAGGGCCTGGAATGCCAGGATTAAAAGTTTGGGAATGTATTGATAAACTGGTCAAGTCACTATGGAAAACTGTGTAGAGGTTCCTCAAATTACTAAAACTGATCTACCATATCATCCAGTGATTCCACTCCTAGGAATCTACCCACAGTACACAAAAACACTAATTTGAAAGGAAACTTGCACTCCTATGTTTATTGCAGCACTATTTACAATAGCCAAGGTATGGATTCAACACAAATTGCCCCCCAAATAGAAGAATGGATCATAAAGTGGTGGTATATTTACATAAATACCAGATAGTCTCACTTATATCTGGAATATAGAGAAACCAAATAAAAGGTCAAAAAAAAAAAGTCAAAACTGAAAAGCTGACCACAAAACTGAGGTACACAGCAGGGGAGGTGACAAGGGGATATGCTGATGGTTCACAGGTCATGCGGTGGTGGGAGGACTATGGTGACTACAACAAAGTAAGAAAAAAATTATTAATTAGTAAAAAAAAAATTAAAAGTTTGGGTTTCATTTGGTAAGCAATAGGGATCCACAGCCAGACAAACATTAATATGGCAACCGCATCTAGGTCAGATTAGAGGAGGGAAAGGTCAGTTAGGAGGAGGCAGTGAAGCCTGAAATAGGCTAGAAAGGGGTGTGGGGAGAGGGCTGGCAACATAAACCCAATTGCACTATGGAGGCAGGATTGTCAGGGCAGAGAGTGGTGTGGTGGAAAGAGCTCAGACTTGGGGGTCAGACCTGGCTTGAACCTGGACTTCCAGCTTCTGAGAGCTGATTTGCACATTGGGCAATTCAAAACCAGGACCTTCATGAACCACAAGTGCTTTGTTCATTCTTTGTTGCTGTCCCAGGAACTAGAACACAATCTGACACCTAGTATGTGCTCAGTGAACTCTGAGGGGCTGGGAGGATAGCTGGACAAATGAATGAAAGATCTAGTGAATGAATGAACACTGTTATTTTAGTGAATGAGTAAAAGAAGCAGGGGAGGGGGCCTCCCCTGGTGATGGTTGCCATGCTGTGAAGCTGTCTGCAGCCTCAGCAGCACCAGTCTGATCCCGGCTGGCCAGCGAGGGTCCCACATGGAGCAGCAGACCTCTCCTGTCTCACCCACTGCTCCCCTCAGCAGTGTATTTCATCAGTCTGCCTGTTCTGTTCCCCGCTCTGTCTCTGGTGACTCCTCTCACCCTCCGCGGATCTGGCCTGTACCCCAGTTCTTGTATAAATAAATAAAAAATAAATAAATCTTAAAAAAGAAGCAGCAGGGGACGGAGGGAAAGACAAGGACAAAGTGTTTTGAGAGTGCCTGGGGAGTGCTCCGCTTCCTGAGCCACTTCCTGAGCCTTTTTCCACTTTCCAGTTACTCAACCCCTGGCCTTAAATGGAGGAGGAGAGTGGAGGGAGAGAAAGCAGGAGGAGGGAGGAAGGCAGAGAGGGCAGGAGGGGGAAGTGTTTAAGCATGATAAACTGCTTACATTGCCCCGTGTCTCTCCTCCTTCTGAGAAACACAAGTACTTAGAAGCAATTGTTACTTAAACCCAGTTGGCACTGCAGTGATTTAGGGCTCTGCTCTGTTTGGCTCCCCACCAGGCCTGCTGGTTGGGGCAGGGAAGGGGGACCTCCAGGGCCTCAGCCCCAGTCTAGCCAGGGACCCTGGGAGCCCAGTGCTTTCTCAAGATGGGCCTGACTAGGGCCTGCTGGTGTCTGAACCCAGGTGTAGCCTGGGAACCAGGACCTGTTGCCTCTTGAAAGGCCTCCCACTGACAGTCAGTAATCAGACCATACATGTTATTTATTACTAACATGCTATACAATCTCATTTGATTTCTAAGCAGCACCTTACGGTCTCTCCATATTCACAGATGAGGAAACTGAGACTCCGAGAAAGTGACTTTCCCAGTTCGCATAATAGGTGGTAGAACCCAGACCAACAGGAAATACAACAAAGGTACCTGGTCACCTCAGTTTGCCCCTCCACATTTTACAAAATGGGGCTGGAGGGGAGGACATTTCTCTGAGATGCTTTCCTAATTGGCTGTGTGCCGACCCCCTGAAACCATATTGATCATCCTTATCCGCTCCCCATCTCCAGTCCATTCCTGCTGGTCACCCCACCCACACTTCTCACTCACATATTGATGCCCCTTCCTGCAAGCCCATACAAGTCCCCACTAGGCTGACCTCTGACCCCTGCTGGAGAGCCACTAGAGGAACTGTGGAGTCAGGGTATCTGTCTGCTTTCCCACTTTCCTCCCATTAGATCTGGAAGGTTATTTCCCAGCCTGTGGATTTCCAGACTTGGGTAAAAGGCAGCTCTTTGGCAAGAAAAGAGAATTGAAGAGAACACTGGAAATAAGTTCAGAGCCTGCCTCCTCCTCCAGCCCAATGCTCTGACCAGGCTCCAGGAAGGTCTGTGACCACTGGGTCCCTCAAAGGCCACTTTGAGAGCATCAGGGGGTTCCAGTATGTTCAAACACACTACTAAAATCAGCTCACAAAAAATGTGGCATATATTACATCTTAACATTTAACAATTTAATGCTTTAACACCAAAATTACAATGTAATATAATTGCTCTATTAACAAGATGATTACAGGTTTATTTTTAATTAATTCATAATATGCAGCAGATGGTATGGTCTGGTATAGGACCAAGTTTAAAGTTACAGGGTGAACACTTTCTTTTGAGCACGTCAGGGTCGCTCTGTGACAGGAGAAATACACCTTACTTGAAAAAGTCAAGAGTTGAACATAAGAATTGGGGACTCAGCCTAAAATCTTCTCCTTGTCCTTCCCACCCCCCCCACCCTTTCCTCATGGCAAATTCTGCTCCCAAACATGCCCACTCCCCCTACCTACCCTAAAATAGACCCAGGAGGAAACTTCTAAATTTACAACCCAGACTCCTTCATTGTCTGGATGAGGAGACCGCAGCCCCATACAGCAGAAAGAACCTGACATGGTCTTTGGAGTCAGGAGGCCCCATTTCCAAACACGCCTCTTTCCTTATTACTGATATGACCTCTGAAAAGTCAGTTCACCTCTATGAGCCTCAGTTTCCTCTTTTGTGAAATGGGCATAAACAAAGCCAGCCTTCTAAAGCTGCAGTGAGGGATTAAGCAATAGACATTGGGGATGCGATTCCTGCTGGTGTCAGATGAGGCAGCATGGAAGGAGCTAGCAGCAGAACTGAGATTAAGTCCCAGGCCAGCATCTGCTGCATGCTGACCTCACCTGGCCGAGCTCTGCAGCTGAGCAGAAAATGGGCTTAGAGGGTAAAACCACCCCGAATCCCAGAGCCTCTGGGTAAAAGCTGTGTCTCCAGTCATAAGTGATGCCTCCTCTGTGGGTCAAGCTTTCACCCTCCAGCCATGAAATAGGAAGAGGGCTTGAGATTAGGGGGGGACTGACCTTCTGAGAGGTGTAATACTGGAGTAGCACTGTTACATCCAAGGAAAGTTATCTGCACCCAGAGGCCTCTGTTGATGTAGGAAGGAAACAGTCCATTAAATGGGCTCCAGCCTAGGGTTATTGGGATTGGGTGGAAGCCTGGCCAGAAGGTCCCCTGAGCTATAGCCTGATTCTGGACCCCAGGGACCTGACACCCAATCTTCTTTCCATCTCAAAACCTGAGAAAGCAAGCCCCAGGATTCTAAGAGTGCTGAAGAAGATGACGCACCCAGCCCATGCTTCCAAGGACTTTCTGGGGGTGGGGCATGGGGAGCTTGGGGGGGCAGTCTCCAGACTGGGGAGAATACTAAGGAAAAGGCAGATAAGGAGTCCAAAGGTGAGGGAAGCCACTCAGCCTGGAAAGAGGCTCCTCCCCTCCCCACCAGGGCCACTTACACGGAAGCCCACTCCCAGCCCTGGCTTCCGTCTAAACGCAGCCTACAGATGGGAGGTGGCACTATTGGGATCTAGTGGGCAGAGGGCAGAGGTGCTGGTAAACCCTCTAAGATGCACAGGGCAACCTCCCACCAGCAAGGGATTACCTGGCCCAAAATGTAGCGCCAAGGCTGAGAAATCCCAGTTGACCCATTTATTTTCTGTCTCCTCTACCATGAGCCAGTCTGTCTTTCTCTCTTAGATCCACAGTATTCTCACCTTGTGGAAGCTCAGTAAATACATGTACGCAATATGTAGTAGGTGGTGCAAAAATGTTTGCTGAGTGAATTTGTGATGAGCTTGGTGATTTAAAAGCCATGTGA